TGACAAAAACTGTTTTTTTTTTTTTTTTTTACTAAGACCGCAGAAACCTTTAGGTCAGTGTGTCCTACTCACCTCAGAGGTCTGACCATTTAACTTCAGCAGCTTCATTTCATTCTCAACGCGATGAAGCCAGCCTTCGTTTTCCAAGAAACGCACTTCTGCTTCCTTAAGACGTTTGCTAATGTGTTGCTGCTGAGTGCGCAGGCTGGCAATCTTCCGCTCGTGCTTACAAGTGGCCTAAACGAAGTCACACGGAGGTAACAAAAAAATGAATTAGTGTTTTCACAGATGCAAGCAGTAATACTGCAAACTATCAATACAAATTAGAGGCATAGGAGGTTGAAAAGAGAAGGAAACTAATAAGAAAACCAAGAATAAAATCTAGCAGAAATTATTTTGTCTCGTTGTAGATGTACAAAACATTTATGTTTAATCTGGTATAGAGTATCGAGCAAAATTTGGTTTAAAAATAACGCATTTTTGTTTTCAAACAGCATTGGGACAAACACTCAAATAAAGTTTAGCCAGCACCTGGGGAGAAGTGACCCTGCCCCAGAAATAATGAGTCAGCAAATTCATTTCTGCAGGGATTGTGGAAACTGTGGAGAATAGTGTAAGCATCATCTACCTTCTCCGTCTTTTCCTTGGCACAGAAGTGTTGGACCTGCAGGTTGTCCTCCTCACTGTAGAGTTGGCGCAGCTCATTCTCCTTCATTTGTCTCTCCAGATCCAGCTGTTCTGTTCTGATTTGGGTTCGACTCAAAAAGATTTGCTGCAGAGCCTCCGACACCCTGGAGAGGACGGGAGCAAGATGGAGACACAGAGAGGGGATTCTTTGTAAAACTTCTAATTGTTAATATTATATTTCTCTTTGTTGTTTAATGAGTGAGATAAACACCTAAAAGGACTGGCCCCATCCAGTGACCAGGTTTAATTAGAAGTTTTTCCCTGCAACATTTCAGGAGTAATTTATTAACTGTTCTCAGAGCTTAAACACGAGTGTTGACATGTCTGAGAGGTGAAACTTTACCACAAATAAAAAGGTTAAAAAACATCACAAATGCAGAGATTTTTTTTAACTAAATCAATGATATATTAACATCAACCTGTAAGTTAGAGTTATAACATTTTAACACACGGTAACGGTGGAACTGATAATAATTAGTTGCATTTACAGTGGATTTAAGCAAAGGTCTGGTTGGAGAGGGTTAAAACAGGAGAAGAGAGGTAAACAGGAGCGAGGAGTCGTCTCTGAAATGTGACTGTACTCTTCAATGTAACTTCAGTGACGTAGGAGTTGTCGTATCCTTGCTAGACTGCTGAATTTTTAATGGTGTGAAAGGCGTGCAGCCTCTATTCAGAGCCTCTCACTGTGCAAGTTGTGAATTCTGATGCCAGTGAATGAAGTGTGTGGGAGTGAGAATCATTCAGCTTTTCTGGGTCCCCTGCCCCATCTAAAAATACCCTCACAGATGCCACCGTTTGTCTTCAACGCAAACCAGGAGACAGAAAGGACAGCTGAAGTGACAATTGCAGATGGGAAAGGTGAATGGATTTACACATACACCACTCCCCCTGTAAAGATTATATACGCAAACGGCCGTCTGAATGACAACAACATTAAGGCTAGAAAATATTGTTCCAAACTTGAATAAAGCCAGTCATTTAATATCTATGGCTTTAGTCTGTGTAAAAACAAATCCCCAAAAACTAAAGACAAATTGTTTCAGAATATATACATTTGAACTTTTTAAATAATAATTTTTTTTATTTCTCAATATTTAACAATGAATGGCATCCGCTGTTTGGTTTTCATGCATTTCTGAATTCCAGGCACTTCCAAAGTAGTTCTCTGGATTATACTTCTCTTAAGACTGAAATATGTCTCATGACGTTTCGTCTTTTTCAGCATCCCATTTTTAAGTGACCAGTATTAGAAAGTAAGGGTGTCTGATAAGGATGCTCCAGGAAGCCTACCTGTGGAATTATTTCAGGCATGTTAAGCTGCAAGGAGACCTGGGGGCAGAACCAAAGAACACTGAAGAAATTACACATTCCGTTTGGACAGTGAATGCCTTAGGAATCCCCCCAAGATAGGCTGAAAAATGGGACTTAAGAGTTCTGTTATTTCGTCAGTGATTAGTCAAATTAGTGTTGTACGAAGAGAGGTTTAGTGACTAGACTTTAACATTATGGCTCAAGGCCAACAGACTGAAAATATTTGAATCCATATACATATATTCACCATCGGCTTTTGTGCTTTTTATGAACCACAGACAGAAGACTGTTGACCAAACTGACTATGTGAAGCATTCAAGTTCAGTAATTGATTGATCCCCATTAAAGTCATTATACAGCGTACTGACCCTAAACACACCACAATTACTTGCAAGACCTCAGTCCCGTGAAAGCCTCAAACACTTGCCAACAGTGACGTGAATTCATTGACAATCAAGGCAGTTACTTGCTGGCAACTTCTCTGCCTGCCTTCAATCAGCAGCCAGATCCTGACACAGCAATAACCACCAAGCAAGTTTGTTAGGACACAAAATCCTTCTGTCTGTTGCTCTGTTAAATACATTTGACGTTTCGCACCTTCTGATTTCTGCTTGTGTCTTTGAGGACATGGTGTTGGTCGAGCTGGGTGCCATATTCTTCTCCTCGTATTCGCTCAGTTTTTGTTTCAATTGTAGGATCTTGAGAAAAGAGCAGAAAGAAATCAACCAGAATTTTAAAAATTAGCCGCGACGTTGCAGAAGACTTTGCGTAAAGCTCAAAAGGAAAGCACTCCATTTACGTTACCTCTTGCCGTTGCTTCTCACATATCACGGCGTACTGACCAATGTGACTGTCCAGGCTGACAACATTACTCTTCAGCTGAAGGTTAGAGGACAAAGAAGGATGAGCTGACAGAAACCTATGTATTTTCTTCAGAATTTTTACATTTGATAAATTGCAGGTCGAAGTATAAAATCAAAATATTTCTGACCGTTGACTTTATCTCCTTCGCTCTGTTGGCATATTTTAGTGTATTTTGAGTGTCGTCATATGACTTGGAAGAGGGGCTAACGTTGGCAATCATGACTGTTCTACAGTTGCCACCTAAGGAGTCCTTCAGCAGCCGAGTCAGTTTGCTGTCCCTGTATGGAATGTGAGCTTTTTTACTCTGAGGAAGAAAAACAAATAAAACAAAAACATTACTAGACTATTTTGAATATTGGACCTCAGAGTATACTACGAGAGCTACCCCAAACCCACACACCAGAGAACTAATTATCATCACAGCAGATATGTACAGGCAATTAAAGACATGAAATTACAGAGAAATCAATATCATATATTGATTAAATATTAATCAAACAATAAAACATGGAGCAACTGTGGATAAATAGTAAATCCCACTCTTTTTCCTGACCAAGCTCCTCTATCCGTTGAACCTAATGTGCACAGGCACTGCATGCAGTGTGTAACATAAAAACTAGGCTTTTCTCAGAGCATCACAAAGAAAACTCCCATAATCAATATGGTCTATGGAATTCATTGCCCAACACTTTTTGACTTCTTCCACTTAAAGGGAATTTAAAATGTCACAATTTTTCTGGGTGGGAAAGATGGGGAAAGAAATAGAGAGGAGGAGATAGAGCAGGAGACCGGATGACTTGTAAACTGTATCTGCATTAGCCTGGACACTGCCTAAGGCAAAAAACTTTCAACAAAAAACCCAGTGAAGCATAGCATGAAGATGACATACTGAACAGTGCAAACAGATGCAGCAGACATTTTTCCCACTCAAATGAAAGGCATGTCAGCTCAGACATAAGTGGGGACATTTTTTCTCTCTCCCTGTAAACAATGGTCACGACACAAATTCCTCATCTGCCAACTGTGACACCAGACCACCAATAATCATGTGGTCGGGAAAGCAGAGAGGATTATTGGTGGGCGTTGTATCCTTGGCAGAGCAAGCTATTTTAGAGTTCATGACGACAGAAACTTGGAGTGGGCGGAGATTAAAAATAGGTGAACTGCGTATTTTTGACAGTACAGTTTTATCCCAAGAAAGAAGAAACCTGTTAAAGTGGGATCAGATTTCAACATGGCTGTGCTACACTTGCAAAGTACTTTAGAAATGCATGTGGCCCGCTTGTGCCTCATCCCTTGAGACTGTGTGTAAAATGAGAAGACTGCTTGACAGGTTAATGTATGCAGCTAGAATGAAATAATACCCAAATACTCTGACTGACTCGACTTCCCAGGCTCTGTGTTTAACATGAGGATAGGATATTTCACTCTGGACACCTCCAAGCATGATCATTTTAAAAAGCAGAATACAGTACTATGTCAGATATTCACTGTTAATTTACTGACTGTTAAATACAGGCATAAAAATATGAATAAGTGCATAAGAGAACAATTATCCTACTTATAGTATTTGATGTGTGTGAAGCAACACAGTCAGCGACTCTAACTTAAATACACAAATGTGCAGTGCATTGCAAACACATTGGCATTAATGGGTAAACCAATAGCTATACTCGTACAAACCTTTATTAATGATACAGCTAAAATGATTTCTTTTAAACTTCAATATATCTTACAAAAACTGTCATAGTTGTGTGAGTGCTTTTAATTGAGGATGGCCTGATCTGATACGCAGGATCATTATCAATATTGGTCAAAATTTCTGGAATGAACATTGAAAAAAAAAAACAAAACCAACAACTATAGCCTCTCTGATCAATATCTAAGCCCAAAAGCTGAACTTAAATTTGCACGACGTGCTGTAAACAGGGACACGATCACCTCAGCAATGACAGCCTGCAGCATGATGGAGGAGGAAAGGGGGCATCACATGCATATCAGTATTGACAGATGCTGCAAGTTGTACTGAGTCATCCCTACTTTTAACAACATATAACATAAAGGGTTTCCTAAACATAATGTAGGTCCTTTACTGCATGTATGGTGCTTCAGAGACATATACACTTACCTTTGGATCTGCAAGAGCATTTATAACGTTTCCTAAGGCCAATAGCGAGCGGTTGATGTTAGCACCTTCCCGTAAACGCGCCCCTTTGGCGTTTGTGGCGCTGGCCCTTTCTGAACCTGCCAGATCAATCAGGCTCATTTTGGCTACGCAGGCGTTGGGGTTGAGACTGGCAGTTTTGTCCTGTTGTCTCAAATATATCTAAAAATGAAGCATTTATTTATTAAACAAAGAAAGTAAAACATACAATAGAGCTATTAAAATTAAAAATTACATATTTTGGGGTACAAATTAAAAAATAGAACCAATTTGCAAATAGGTTTTTTGCATTTTAAGATTGCACAAGGAAGGTCAAAAGGTTCTAAGAAAAACAAAAACAAATGTATTCAGCTGCATAGCCTCTATTTTACTGCTATTACTTCTGCAAGTGGTGTTTCCACAAAATATTTCCTTTTTGTAGAGTTCTGGGAGATTCTACGTCAAAAGCTGCTTCTTTGCCTTTTTGTAAGGACTGAAATTGAGTTCCTTCCAGACGTTCTTTTAGTTTTGAAAAAGAAAGACAATCAGAAGAGGATAGATCATGTTTAGGTATATTGGATACATTATAATAATAATTATCTGTCTTAGTACTTTTTAACTTTTCCTTGTATGCTTTTTCCTCTAATTCTCTGATTAGTTTTTAATACAAAGTTGTTTGGGCATGCAAACTGTTTTTGTTATTGTTCATAAGACTTGACTGTAGTACCTGAAATACAGCATGGGACCGGGACGATGTGGCATTCATATCAGTTGGATGTTGCGTTCTGTTTCGATTGCCGATATCCAGAGCTTCTAATATGTGTTCCGCAGATTTCGGCTGTAACAAAAAATAAAACAAAACACAGCTTGAATAATTTACGAAAACCTTTTGGACTTATGTAATGTTTCTCAGTTAACAGATAATTTGATCTATTGTTAAAAGAAACTTTAAAAATGTAATTTACAAATTTGAACTTAAATGCATGTAGCTACAAACCTGATGTAACGTAAGGCCTTGAACAACCACTCCTTTAGAACTGTCTTCTCTCACTGCTAGAGGGCCTGTACCAGACAACAGGTCTCTTATCTGTTCATTGTAAACCTGTAAATAACCCAAAATACATAAAAAACAATACAAGGACAATTTCACATTTGTTAAATAGCTTATATACCTTAAATTAAAAAAAAAACAAACCCAATAAATAAGTCTTAGATTTTAACCTCAAGGTAGGAGAATGCTACAGCAAACTCTTTTTCCTCCTTGGCATCGTCCATGCGTTTGAACAGTTCTTTCATGGTACGGTACATAACTCCAGGATTATCCTGTGAACCCAACATGGTATGGGTCTTGCCTGCTCCTGTTGCACCATAAGCGAACACTGAAAACAACAACAAAAAAATTGACTGAAGACAAATCAGTGGGGCTGGAAAGTTGACAATATTGATGCCAGGATTTGAGCATAACCACTGTGAAAACTATTCACAGAACATGAAAGAAAGTTAAATCCAATCTATTTGCATCAAATATCTCACCAATATAAGGCAATATATATATATATACAAAACAGCTAATTGTCTGCAAATGCAAACACACCACAGGTTGACTGGACTGAATTTGAAAATGAACTTGACAACAGAAATAAGCTTAAATTTAAAAACATTCCTATTGAAAAATAAAGCACGAACAATTCTACGTGGTTAGCTTAAAGCACAATAAAAGATTTGGCTCTTCACAGTGTCTGTGCTCCCGGCAACTCTTTGCTGCTCTGTAGGATTCTGACAGTTCTCTTAAAACTTAGGAAATAATATTTCCGCATCAATAAGTCTTTGTATGTGTAACATTAATGTTGTTTTCCATCCTTACCAGAGTTCAGCATAACCCGTGCTTTAACTGTTAGTGACAATGTAGCAATAAACTCCTGCTACTTTGAGCACACATTTTTCAGTCCAGTTTATGCAATACTGTTGCTAAAATCAAAACCAACAGTGAACATAGCCACTTTCTTGTAGTTATGAAAAGAGGTTGGCCAGTCGTCACAGCCTCTACATTCCATCACTAGAAGAAATAAACATACAAAAGAGGAAAAACTCCTGGCAAGGAATCATCAACAATGGAGTGAAATATGAGAAGAATTCCGTAATGCTCGACTGAACAACTCTTGCTTTTTATGATTTGAAATGATGTGACATTTTTGGATACGAAACGCAAAATGTATAACAGTCACAGTTGTTTGTCAATATATGTGACCCTGTGATGGACTGCTGAACTGCCCAAGGTGCACACCGCCCTCGCCCGATGACTGCTGGGATTGGCACTACTTTTCCCCTTAAAGCTGAATAAGGACAAAGTGGTAGAAAATGAATGAATAACGCTGATAGTGACTGTCTTAAGTTTAAAGGTTTGGAAAACAGAGATGTCTTTGAAGCTAAGGTACACGGTTTTGGATAAAGTAATATTTGATGTCAAGGTTACATTTTGTGCATGGAACTGTCCAATCTATTCCGGACACAAATGAAACTTTTTTTAACCAATATGGTTTATTAAGGCGTAAAATTAAGCTGATATGCTGTAATTATTTATATGTATGTTTTTCCTTAATTTATTGAATATCTCTAGTTCAAAGATAACTTTCCTCTATGACACCTCCTCATGATGTAAATAAAAAAAAACGAATTGACAATCTAATAATTCATAATAAGTGTGTATTTACAAATGCATATATAAATCTCCATATTATATATAAGCCTATAGATAAAGAATATGAAATTATTTTCCACATGACAACAGGGTTCTGCACACTTAAAATACCAATCTTTCTAATTTAACTAGCAAATAAAATTTACTGAGTCAATAATAAATGTCATCAATTTTAGTGATAGTTGTTGTTCAGTGTATAAAGTTTTAACTACCACAGTAATACTACAGATTTATGAAGTGCATAAAAAATGCTGATTAAAAGGTATTGTTATTTAATATGTTGTACCACAGAAAAAAAAACATAATATGCAAATTTGTGTCTGAAAACAACACTGCACACACATTATCATTTAGCATTTACTAAAACACACTTATTACAATGACATACATTGACCTGAAGACAATATTGCTTGCTTTAGGTAAATCTAAACACATATGACCTTGAGTTAAGAGGACAGTGCCATTATGTTGTTTTGCTATTAGCAAGCATTTAAGTGTGATGCATTAAATCTGTGTGTTGTAGCAATTATTTTTGAACAGAATTAAAGACACCAAAGACAAAGACTATTTTACATCTCCTCATACTAATGGATTGACATTACAGTCATAATTTCTTTAAATAAAGTCAGGCTAAATTTTATCCACTGCAAAGAAGCCTGAGAGCCTGGCTTAGAAGGCACCAATTGACAAAACAATCCTTACTGCCTACAATAAATAAATATGAAAACTCTCAGACACATGCACTGTCATTTCATCCAAAGTCTAACTCATAAGCCAGATAATAATCATGGTTTCAACCTTTTAGTAGAGGAGAATAACAGTTAGTGTACAATGACAAGATCAAAAGGCAATTATCAATCAATCAACATATTCTTGCATCAAGTCAACATGGCAATATTACAGAATAAAAATTATTTTGTAGTTTTTTCGGTCGATAAATTATAAATATGAATTGCGAAAGCATTGAAATTGATGTACAACTTTTATTGAACTGAGATATTTAGACGTAAAAAGGTTAGTCATACTTGGGTTTGATATTAAAGTGTCCGATTAAACCCTAATTGTTAGAATTTTGTGTGTGGTTGACTAAATGCCGGTATATGCGTTACCTGTGCAGTTGAATCCATTCATCACACCGTCCAGCACTACTTTAGTGGTGTTCTCAAATATGTCAACTTGAGTGGAGTTCTCACCAAAGACATGGTCAAAAACAAATTTAAGGTCTTTGTTGGCCTTTTTGTTTATGTTATGTCTCCGTACTCCTTGTTTTGATCCAAAACATGACAGGTCCTCCTCTTTGGGGTCAAATATAAGCATGTGATTATCAACAACCTGGACAACATTTCGACAGTTTTCTCGCAGCTCACTGTCGTTTGTTGGCCTCACTCGAACCACCACCTTCACATGACTACACACATCCCCTGCCATTGGGGTCAGCCTTCCTCAACTGTAATAATTCTGGAAGAAGAAAAAAACAATCAACTGATGAATGTATTGTTAACCCTTATCACCAAAGTGTTACAACTATATATATATCCCATTACAGAAATGTATTATGACTCTATGCTATGTTGACAGCAATAAGCTTTAAAATCGTTCACACCTTTCCGACTTATTATCAGTGTATACGAGTGTAAATAGTGAAATCCGTCACTATTTCGCTTTCAGTCTCTGCATGTTTACGTCACACTGAAGGTATTGAAATCGGTTCAATATATGCAGTATTAACGACCACTAATTATGGAAACAGATACACTCCCTATGTGATATGCGTGTGAAATACGCAGAAAGATAACAACACTTAAACGTTGTGTTTCGTGTTCGAATGTAGTTTCAAAAGTGCCAATAAATCATGTAAAACAACGCATGTTTTACAAGTAGAAGCTTTCTATAGGTATTGTGGCTACGTTAACTTAGCACAATTGGCTAACGCCTGGGAACGACATCAACCTATAACGGCAGTTAGCCCTGCCTTGACTATGTAGGCTATAAGAGTTGATCACTAAAAGCTTACCTTTTTATAGGCAACCCTGAAATTCAATTTCATAACCGATGTGTGTTCTATGCTGAAATTGAACGACTTTGTTTCCTAACGTCATACATACAGAAGGAAATCCTATACAGCATCTATAGCTAGTTAGCAGGACAAGCGCCAATAATTTGAAAAATAAGTCGTCTTCCTCTTCCGCGGCAGATTGGATGTGAGCCGTTGTTCACAAAGGGGGTTGAATGACGTCCGAGTGACGAGACGACACTTCCGGAGGAGGAGCTAGGTCCCCAGTGTACGGGATACGGTAGGCTGCTGTTATTTACTTATAAGTGCGAACACCGAGTTTTCGGTACGGTTAGAGGTGTAACCGACGTAAACGTGGCCTTAAGACGACAACACACCCGTTTTTTGAGTAGACCACGTGTTTCAAATAAGTGTTGATAACAGCCCTGGTACAACACAAACATTGACTGATGATGTTAGTTTTCTACCAAAGACACTTAAGATGTTTTTGGACGTAAGTATTTACATGTATTTGTGTACATGTACGCGCAGCACTTGTAAACTACAACTCACAACCACTCGTGCTGGACACCACACTATAGATCTCTGAGCATAGTAGTGTGGCGTTAGCATAGCATATCAACCGCCCATGTTTAGGAGCAAATTGGCCTCTTAAAAATTGCTAACAAAAATGATAATGAGCTAAAATTGAAACAGACAACAATTACCAACGAGAAACTACATGACATTGAAGAAGATGGCTGAAGTTGTGTAGCAGAAAATACATTAGAGGCCTTGTTATATACTGTTAGCATACTGTTTTAAAAATAGTTTTTTTTTTTAAATGCTGTTTTAACCAAAGATTGCTAAAAGCAAAGTAAGAAATTGCAGCTCCCAGCGAGTCTCCCTAAAGAGAAGAATTCTATGTCTCCCGACAAGTTTAACTTATTTTTGTCTGGCTTGTAACTTTCGTTTAGCTTTATCATTTTTGCAACCTCAGCACGGAGAATGCTTTTTACTAGCAATGCATTTAAAACCCTAGTGAGTGAAGACAGAACAATAGGCTGCTATATCAACTAAATCCCAGGGGAACCTGGGGGGTCCTAATATATTCTTGTTATACCATATTTATATTTGTTTAGGGAAAGCTGAAAAGCTTTAAATTGTCCAAACTGTAATTGGGGTTAGTACTGTAAAACTGTAAAACGCAGTGCAATTGTAAACTAATTAAGCTTTGAATGACACAGTACTAACAGGTGGTATTTGGTACTTTATAATTTTGAATATGCCACCCTGTGAATTTTGGAGACCCTGGCCCACCATTTATACACAGCACAACTGTGTCTTGCCCATAAATTATAATTTAATTGTGTGAAAGCAGAAATGACAATACTATAACCCTAAATGGCTTCTTAATTAATTCCTTAATTTTTTAAATAAACACAACCACACACCAATAGAGACACAGGTAATCAAATATTTTCGTTGCATTTATAATATAAACAAGTGCTAAGTGATGTAATGCTTCAAAAGATGTCCATTTCAGAATCATGCTTAAATTAACCAAATTGGCTAAACTTAAATATTATGTTTACGTATACTTAAATATATGTATTACTGCATGAGAAGTTATTTTAAAATGTTGCTGTGCAATTATGCCTAACCATCTGACAGTAAACTGCATTTAGCTTAAATTTTTTTATAGCCTCAATCTAAAAAAAAAAACACCAAACAGTTATTAGCTCCTGAAAATATTTCCATTTTATAAGTGTAATGTATCTTTACCCGAGTTCTAATTTTCAGCACATGTTGTTGCCAGGAAACACCTGAAAACCTTTTTTAACCATGAAGCTCACTTTGGTGAACCTAGAGTGGGTGGTGTTGTTCATGTTTAAGTCATCAACCTAAGACGTACATACAAGAGGGTGCAGTGATTCACTATACAAACCTTATAAAGATGTTTTATGAAGGGTTCGACCCTGCTAAGTGTTTTTGGCTCACGATATGAGTGGGCACCCTTGCTCTTTGAAGGCCAGGTGGTTTAGTCAATTAAAAGTAATAAAACAGTTTATAATGGCATATGCTTGGCAAGTTACAGCATCATAACATTAAAAAGTTATTAGACCATTATCTTAACAATGTTACTCACAGTTAAAGTTCATGTCCCTTATTATTTAAATGTGGGCAACTTCTGGCAGTGATTCAGCCTGGGCCAAACACAATAGATCATACTGCTGATCTAAAGTATCCTGCAAGTAAAACTGTTATGTGACCAAGTGTTGTTCATTTATTAATCTTTCACTGATAAATTTAAGGTGCACATTTAAAAACAACAAACTAGGTTTAGTTTTGTCAGTTGGTTGTAGGACCAGGTAGTGCACATGCACATTTTATGTGGCCTTTAGAATTATTTTATATTATATTTTTCTTGAAGTAGAAGCTTTTAGCTGCTTACATTTTTATTTAGGATTTTTGCTATTTATTTTAGCCTAGCTAAACCTGGTAATCTTCAATTATTTACTTAACTGTAAGGTATTTCTGTTAATGTATTTATAAATGAATATGTTGACTTTCAAAGTGATTTAGTGTTTCAAAACTCATATTTACATGATAAGCAGTTGACCTTCATATGATATTACTTAGCCCAAATCCATAAAAGCTTGGACACTTGTGACTTAATAGGTATGCTCTTATAATCTTTACAGGATTTGGAAAGCGTCATGTTTGTGCGCTGCAATCCGATGCTGTGGAAAACCAGCTTGGCATGGCAAAGACTAAGGAGGTCATGGATTTTAAGCCTGCACTCTTCCACCGCAAGAGCATTCTCAGGTCCTTGTTGCCAGGATCCATGTAAAGAGTCATCGTCCTTTTCAACTGAAAAGCTTCCTCACACACCCGTCATGGTCAAAGAGGTGCTTGAATTCTTAGACCTTAAACCTGGTCAGGTATGTTTGCATCTTCTCTTTTTGTTCTTTTTTTTGTTTTAGTTTTTAATTCATGCACACCTAATCAATACCAAGTTATTCAAACAAAACAAATGGCTTCATTTCCCCTCCTCATTATTTGCATTATTGACAATATAGTAATCACATTAAAAACTTCCCACAATGTTTTCAGACAGGCAAATCTGTTGTGTCTAAAATTAATCCCTATTGTCCACACTGATGTTTGTGCTTGTTTGATTAGTTTGTATTTGAATTACACATTTTTTTCTGGTTGATTGCCCTGACAATGGTAATGGCATACAAACCAGTACTAAGACGTTTCATTCATACTGTCCTCATGCGTCAGTTGTAGAGATTTAAGCGCAACACTGTCCAAAGGTTTAATTTGAAATACTTGTCAGAAATTCGTTATCACCTAGAACAGTAGTATCAGAACAGTATTCTGATAAAAGAATGAGTTTTGTAATAAGTTATATAAATTAAAAAATACAATGACATGCATGCCATACATGTCAATAAAGTCTAATAACAATGTAATGTACGGTAGTTACTTAGATCTTTGTCCCTTAGGTACAAATCTACTAAACACAACCATATAATGACTTGAGATAAACCCAGTGTTAGTAACTTGGCTTTCATTGAAGGTATGTATCAGGACAGATGGACATGAATCAAAGGCCTTCTGGTACTGCAGGCAGCATAGGAGGGGTTGTATTGGGGCCCCCCAATAAAATGGTCAAGTCAGGTGGGTGCTGTGGGTCAACAACTTAGTCAGGATTTGTGCCACTGTAAGGCTGTTGGCAAGACACAGAGTGCTGCATCGCTCCTGCCTGAACTTTAGCACCTCCAAACTCCTCCGCTTTCCGCCCATGTGCCAACTGTCCCAAGACAGCTTGCCAATCAGATGCTTGTAAAAACACTCTGATGGATTTTGTTTTTGTACAGTAAGTGCTGCAGACCTTATCTGTCATCCCTAGGACAATTATGGTTAGATCCAAAAGTTGTGGTTGAAATGTTGCGTCGAGGTTTTTTATTTTAAGTCAGGCCAGGTACATGTCACTGTTTAAATGACAATCTCAGCTTGGTTATTTTCCACATTGATATTGTATTGTATTGTAGATTGTAATTATGAATAGTTGTTGCCATCAGTTTCAGTTAGACAATTTAAAACACTCTATACTGATCTATCCAACTGTCTGATAGAGCTGCTATTGAAGCAGACAATTGTTTGGTGTCTACTTCTTGCTATCACTTAGAGACCTGCTGCTTTTTGGAGAAAACCCTCTTTCATATTACTAGACAGATACAATACTTACACGATATGATACTTACAAAAATTATTTAGAGCAGATAATGAAAGACTTAATGTAATAACTAAATTTGATTGGGCTTGGCAACTAAAGCAGAGTTTGTACTGTTTGAATGTTGTTTTTTATTAAAGACAGGCCTAAGAGCAACTAACCTGAGATGTGTGTATGAACATAGAGATTTAGCACATAATCACCATAATTAATATTGCTATTAGGTTTAACTAAGTCTAATCTGTTAAACCAAGTTTAAAATGTGGCTGTATGAAGCCAAGTTTAGAAAAACAACATTAAACTTTGATGCTGGAATTATTAGTAATGCAGTGGTGTATTTATGGTAAGGTACTTTTATGCACTTACATTTACAGCATGACTAACCATGTTCACTGAATGCATGGTTAGTCAACATTTTCCTTCAATTAAGTAGCACAGTTTAATTACAAAGAAATAAAGGAACAGAAGTCTTTACATGAGCCATTTTTTAAAAAAAAAAAAAAGCAATGTGGGTGCTTACTTTGCTCCAGTGTGGGATAATGAAGTACTGCACTAACAGGTGGGACCCATACACACGACTGGACTTGATGATCACCAGATCCTGTTCTCTTTTGTGGTGGGGATGATGATTTTATCAGTTGTTTGTGTTTTCTTGTTTTGTCTTTTTTGGACAGTTCCAGGTAGGAATGTCTACCAATGGGGAATAAAACCACTTGGTGGCTGTAATTCATCTTAAAAAGTTAGAAGCTTCCTTCAAAACCCTAGGAGAAGAGAAAAAAAAGCAATAAATGGGCAGGATTAGCATTGTTCTCCTGTCTTCTTAGAAATGCTCTGGTCATTAGGTTTGATACATTTAACAAACTTCTGTCATCTTAAGAGCATTTCTTTAGATTATTTGAGTCCTGAATTGGTTAATGCTCACTCTCTTCTTGATGATTGTTTTCAGGGACCTGTTTAGTGGGGATAATAATTTGTGCCAAACGGTATCATAAGCACCTGTGAAGTTGAGCAAATGTATTCCTGTCTTCACTTAAAGCTATTCTCAATGAAGGTCTTTTGGGCCAGAGCTTATTCTTCTGTGCTGCAGCCTATTAGAAGTCTGGTCTACACAGACAGTGCGATTGGGTGTAACCTGCAGGCAGTTGGTGATCTATGCCAGGGATAATACAGCAATTACTTAAGCTATCTATCATTTGAGAGTACAAATGATCTGCCAGTGTTGGAACTCTGGGCCAGGGGTGTTTCATAAGCTTTCAAATAATATAAACATATACCCCAGGTTTCCACTTTTCAGGTCATATGGGGCTTTCTCCAGTTCATTAATTTCAAAGGGCTCAGCATTGCTGTCCTCCCTCAACTGTTGTCTGTGTGCCTTCAGCTCAGCTCTCACTGGTCATTTGATATTCCTGTCCTGGGCTACTTTTGAGACAATGATGCGATGCGGTTGGGTGTCACAGTAGACTGGGTCTTGGTTTGGTGGCCTCTGTTTAGCTCCATGGTAACGGATGAGGCTCCATTATTTCCTGCTCGAGTAGGTAAAATTCAGTTCCGCTTTAGTCTCCTCCCTTTTTCTTTCAGTTGTGGTTAGAGATTCTGTGCGATGTTCTGCCATACTCTGGGTTCCCTCATGTTTTATATGCCTCATCATTCAAAAAAAAGAGGTAGCCTGTGGAATTGCTGTATAGATAGCCTTATATATGGCTCTGCAAAAATGCTCACATCCTTCATTGACAGTGATGTTGTGAAGTGGGATGGCAATGAAATATCAATCTAGGTTTTCACTGAATTTTGTACAGTTGGCTTTCTGGAAGTTTTGGAGCATCTACCATTGGCTTTTAATGATTTAGAGTTGTAGGCCAATATGTGTGGGACAGTGCTGCTGCGTGGAAAGTCATTAAGTACGACTTGTTTATGTCTGAGCAGGATATGGAGTTTCATTTAAAGAGCTGCTCCAGCACAGATTAGGAGTGTTCTTGTTTTTGAACCATACATAAGAAGTCAACTCTAAATACTAAGTATGAGAGTGTCTTCCCATCACCACCAGCCTGATGGAAGTCCCCTATGTAGATTGCATTTGGGGAATGATGTGTTGGACTTGCTTATCCTAGTTGGCACTTTGGGGCTTGTATACATTTCTGATATGGAGCCAACCAATGATTATAGTCTAAAGTAGAAGTTTGTTGATAATAAATGATGTGCTTCAGCTATGTCCGAGAACACATGGGTGGTTGGCTCACGTTGGAAAGCCATTAATGGCCAGCGTCTTCATTGACAATGTGGAGGCAGTCTCTTGAAGGGAGTTAACATCAACTGAAGGTTGCGAGCTAAGGACTTCAGTAAGACTTTGCTTGGCTGCAGACAGGCCTTCAACATTATGGCGCAATATCTGAGGGCAAGTTCAACCAATCTGAGCTCTTGGGGCTGACGTTGTTGCTGCTTTCAGCTTGAAGTTTTCCATTAACCATACAGGGCGTAAACAGTTGTTACAAACAACAAAACCAATGAATTTATGGTCAGAATGATAAGGCAGCTGGTTGCCTGTGTGGAGCTGACACATCATACATGATACACACTTGATTCGTGACTTCAGTTGAAATGTAGGACAAAAATACAGCAAACAAACAAAATCACAGGTGTTGTAGTTTAGGCTGTGGACCAAATATGACACTGACAAGTGCTGCATTCATACATTTTTCTTGTTAGTGTGATTATTTGCCTGGTGGTAATTCAGGCACATAAAAAAGTCTAATTTTTCTTTTTACCTTAAAGCATTAAGTTGTTTTGCGATATGCTGTAAACATGTTAAATCATCTCCCATTTAAGATTCCATCAGGTTTTCCTGTAATTTCCATTGGAATCATAGAGCGCAGAACAAACAATGGTTTGGGTATATCTATGTATATCTTTTGTG